TGCGCTTGAATGATGATGTTGGTGAAGAATATTGAGTATACTGTTGATTACCAGGAAAACAAACAAATCTGTCTTGGAAAAAGTATAATCGGAATGGTCTTTAGGAGCGAGAATGGTGAGATTTCATCTCACATACCTTGGACATGTTCTCAGAAGAGCTCCGTTCCTGGTGAAGAACATTATGCTCAGTAAAGCAGACGGTCAGTGAAAATGAGGAAGAGCATCAACAAGGTGGATTGACGCAGTGGCTGCCACAGTGAGCTCCAACATAACAGTGATTGTGAGGATGCCATAGGATGGGCCATGTCATAGTTCTGTACCACATAGGATCCTTCTGAGTCAGAACAAACTGGGTAGTACCTAACAACAACATGATACAGAGTGCGAATTGTTATACATTAGAAACTTTAACTTGTTGCCAATATATTTTTATACTGTCATTTTGTTAGGATGTTCAGTAAAGTTTATTCTTTTTATCATTTAAGTCTTTCTTGAGAGCAGCTTATGTTTACACAAAACTTACAAATTTAGATATATTTCCTCAAGGAAAGATCTGAAAATTTTATTAAAATGGGAAAAAATAACACTTGTAATTCCAGGAATTGTATATTAATTTACAAAGAATCTTAATAGAAAAAATTATAACTACTACTGTAATTAAAAATATTAAATTACTTCATTGCTTCAAATTATTTTTCTGTCTCACTTGTTTTGTTTTATATATTCTTGTGTTTTAGGGTAATCTTTGCCAAGCATTATATTCTAAAGATTTTTTTCAATTGCAATTTGATGGAACTTCAAAAAGTTCATGGAAAAATAGAGTTTCAAGGCAATAGAATTTTTCCACAAACATATAGATGTCCCTGTATACATACAGAACTGAGAAAATGATTTGTAAAGTTTTGAAAAAAGACAAACAGGGTAAAAAGTATTAATTGTGTGATAATGTTACCACCAAACAGGCTGTACTGTTTTACATTCTCACCAATAGTTTCAGATGGCTCTAGTTTCTAGTACTAGATGGAATAAAATAGAAATTCCTTAAATCAAACTTAATATTTATATTCAATTCACATCTGACAAGGATGCCAAAATAGTTCAATGGGGAAAAAATAGTCTTTTCAATAAATAGTGCTGGACAACTGGTTATCTACATGAAGAAGAATGAAAGAAGGTGGATCCACCCTCATATACTATGTAACAAAACTTAGCTTACATGTTAGAGCTAAAATCCCCCAAAACAAAAAAATGTAGAAGAAAGTGTTGGTGTAAACCTTTATGGTTTTGGATTTGACAATGGATTCTTAGCAATGGCATTTAAAGCACAGCAATGAAATAATATAAATGACACTTTGTCACAATGGATGTTTCTGCTTCCAAGGATTTCATAAACTAAAATGACTGAACAGAATGGGAGAAAATACTTGCAAATGAGACATCTAATAAGGGTCTAGTGTTCAGAATACTCTATTATTAAGTGTGAAATGAACTTGTATGGCATTGAAGACTCCAAAGTCTACTTCAGTTTTACTTTTCCTCCTTTTTTAGCCAGTCAGACCAATATTTTGATCTGAGAGGTAAGGAATCTGGACGTTTTTTCTTTTTCTCTGGAAGCAAATTTCTGTCTGTCTGTCTGTCTATATCTATCTGTCTGTCTCTGTCTGTCTGTCTGTCTGTCTATCTGTCTGTCTGTCTGTCTGTCTGTCTATCTATCTAATCTACCTACTTATTTATTTTTCATGTTAAACTCTCCATTTTTTTGCACACACACCCTCCTCCCAGCCCCTTCAGAATACATTAAAAAGCAAAATTTCTTACTACTGCTTACACTCTAGTCATAGTGACTCTCTATAGGGTTTCTGAGGCTGTAAATTTTTATGGAAACACCTAGCCTCATATTTCTCCTACAGAGCAGCTACTAGGTTTGAGCTGCTCACCTTATGGTTGACAGTTTAATATTTTTTCCTGACAGCATACAAACCAAGAATAAAAAGGTAAATAATTCAATTTAAAGATGGACAAAGTAGATGTTTCTCCAAAGAGGTTACGCAAATGGCCAATAAGCAAATTAATATTCAACATCATTAGCCATCACGGCAAATCAAAGCTACATTGAAATACTGCTCATACTACCTTAAAGGACTGTACTTACAAGCAGAAGCACAGAACAGTTGTTGGCAAAGATAGGGAGACATTAGAATCTTCATAAATTGCTGATGTGAATGGTGCAGTCACTTGGAATAAAAATCTGACAGTTAACATGTTAAGCATAGAGTTATCACATGATTCCAATTTTCCATCCTTTAGTATGTACCCAAGCGGGATCTACGGTCAACACCCATGGAATCAGCAGTCAGGAAATCTAAGGGCGTGTTGCATTGGGAAAATCAACAGCAAAGGACTTCATGAAAGTCTTACAAAGCAAAGATGGCACCTTAGAGACTAAGGCATACCCAACCCGTGCCATGGTCATTTTAATTTCCTCATTTATATGCAAAAGCTGTATAAGACTGAAGCAGAACTGAGGCCTTTGAATTAGGATATTGATGAAGAGTATTGAATGTGCCCTTCAGCGCCAGAAGAACCAATACATATTCTGGGATTGGGAGAAGTACAATCAGAATGTTACTTAGAAGCGAGAATGGTGAGACATCATCTCACGTACTTTGGGCATGTTATCAGGAGTGATCTGTCCCTAGAGAAGAGCATCATATTTGGTAAAGTAGGAGGTCATTGATAAAGAGGGAGACCCTCAGCAAAATGGATCGACACAGTGCTTGTAACAATGGACTCATGCACATGAATGATTCTGAGAATGGTCGAGTGGATGGTGCAGAATGGAGCTCCGGGCAGTGTTTTGTTCTGTTGTTAATAGGAAACCCATTAAGTCAGGATTTGCTCTGCAGCACCTAACAGCAACAACAACGTCTTCCTGTCCCTGTCTGTCTGTCTTCCTACCTACCTACCGATTGACTGCCTGCCTGCCTGCCTGCCTATCTACCATCTACCTACCTACCTATCTGGAGAGTGTGGATTGTATTAAACCTATCAGTGCCTTAAAACACAATGAACATAAAAACAAAATGAACACGTCTGATTTTTCTTTTCTTAATAGGCAATTCGAAGTTTTCAAGTGGCCCTTCACATCTACCCACTGAACCCTGAAATCTGGAAAGAAGACCTGTCCTGGGCAAGGGCGCTGCACGAGCAGCAGAAGGCGGCACAGAGGATTGAAAGCAGTGTGGCCCCGGCCGACGTACCCCACTTCTCACCCAAGTCAATTCCTGACTATGACTTTGAAAGTGATGAGATTGTTGCTGTTTGTGCTGCAATTGCAGAGAAACAGAAGACAGAAGTTTCGGCAAATAAAACCATGGTCATTGTGTCTGCTTCAGGGACAGTAGAGACTGTAACTGAAAAGGAAGATTGTGCTACCACACCAGATGGCTCTGTTTTTATCAAAGCCCGATGAAGCAGTATGCAGCCCAGGAAGTTTTTGAATCTCTGTTTGAGATGATCACTTACAGTTTTAGACATAGGGACATTTCCTCTGGAGAAACGGGACAAAACACCTGCTTGTAACATAAGCTTTGCAGATGAGGCATATGAAAACTATGTGGTAGAATTACTGTATAGTGTTTGCACTGTGCTTTGATAAGCTATGACTTATATTCCTTAAAATGAAAATTCTGAGTAAAAAGGTTTTTGGTTAATTTAATCAAAATAGATGAATAGATACATTATAAACATATACAACTTGAGGAATGAATTGTAAATAATTTAATGGCTAGTGTTTTTAAAATGTTGACTTAGGGACTTTTGTTTTACAATAAAAGAAGTTTGTGAATTCTTTCTCTCTTAAAAGTCTACTATCCTTCGTATTCACTTTTCTTGTTTCTTCTCCTGCCTTCATTACAGTAAGCCTAAAACAAGTTTGAATATTTTTGATACTCATTTTGAGCCAAAGTTGTTATTGTTTGGACTCTTTAAAAGTTTGGCTGAAAATGCATGCAAATGTATACTACATTCTGAACATTTTCTGAAGTTGCTTTTAAATATGAATTGTGCTTTTGATTTTGTCTTTAAAGTTATAACAATGACAGTTGCCTCCTTCGGTGTCTGTTCTGTGAAGTGCTGACAAATGTCAGAATGATGATTTTACTTTTTAAATTATCACTGCAAGTAAGAGTAGTTCTGCCCATATAGAATCATTTATAAAACGTACATTTGTAAAAAAGGTGAATGGCTTTCATAGATCCACCACCACAAATTGTACTGCTCCATTGTCCCAGTCAAAAGCACTATTTTGTTTTCCTTAATTTTAAAAGCTTACTATCTGTGAAGATAATTTATTTCTTGTTTCTAACTTTCCTGTTGATGGTTTAGAATTCTTCCCTAAGATAACTTTTTCTGAACTAGTCAGTTAAATAAGAAATGATCACATTTTAAAATGAATTGTATCTTCCTAAAAACACAAGTAGGGATACTGTTTTTAGAATGTCAGTGAGTGAATAACTTGAGCACAAAATTTGTAGAAACTAAAATATGTTTTTACAGTACAGGCATACCTCAAAGATATTGCTGGGTTTTTTTCACACCAGTGCAGTACAACAAATTTCACAATAAAGAGTCACAAGAAAATTTTGGTTCCTAAGTACATTTAAAATTATGTTTGTCTATTAAGTGTGCAATAGGATTATGAAAAAGATGAAATACTGTGAAAATTACCAAAATATGATACTGAGACACAAAGTAAACACATATTGGAAAAATGGCAGCAGTGGACTTGCTTGATATAGGGGTGTGCTACAGACCTTCAGTAAAAAACATCTGCAGTGCTCATAAAGCAAAGTAACATAAAATAAGGTATACCTGTACAATCCTATGAGAGAATGCTAGAGTAAATATGTCACTGAAAGGCCAAAATTGCATTTTGGCAATCTGAGTTGTACTTATGTATATTTTAGTATAATTATATAGAACTGCTTGGTACTTGTTTCAGACACTCAGGAAGATAGTGAAATGAGACTGGTTTTTATCTTTGTTAGGGAAGAAAACAGCTTTATGTTATGGGATTTTGCCTAGCCTTGTTGCCATGTGTAAGTAATACTATCTAATTTTCTGACTCAATTTTTAAAATTTTGTTTTGACAATGCTTGTCTCTGTTTTCTAGAGTTGTAGAAGTCAGCACTTAACTTGTACAGTATTTCATTTTTCTGTAGTTATATCAGAAAGTTCTGGTTAGAAGGATTATATTTATAGTGATCAAAATGCAAACATGGGTTCCATTTTATTTTGTCTAATAAGGCATCTTGTCCAAAGAGTAGCTGGGGATCCAGAGAAGTGAACACAAAAAAATCATACATTTTTTTATTAAAGGATATGTGTTTACTGTGTAATTAGTGAATAAAAAATTTCCCCATGCATTTTGAAGATTTTCTATTTTATGTTGTTAGCCTTGGACAAAGAAGATAGATTCACTTCTTTCAGATACAAAAGATAATGTCTGCATAGCATCTTGCATGATGCCTAGAAAATGAAGTGCTTAGTAAACAAAGAGCTTAAATTGGTTTTGAGGACCTCCTTTTTTGGTTTTAAGAGGGCAAGAACTGTTTCATAGTTATTTCCTTATGTGAAAGTGAGATATCACTACATCTGATAATAGGATACATAGTAACACGTTTCATATCATTATTGGTATAGGTTCTTGTTAGGTGCTATCTAGTTGGTTCCAGCCGTAAACAACCCTAAGCACAAAAGAACAAACCACTGCCCAGTCCTGTGCTGTCCTGTGCTTGAACCCATTGTTGAAGCCACTTTGCTCATCTCATGGAGGGCCTTTTTTTGTTGTTGCCCCTCCACTTTGCCAAGCATGATGCCCTTCTCTAGGGCCGTCTTTCCTGACAGCTTTCCCAAAGTATGTAAGTCAAGTCTTGCCGTCCTTGCATCTCAGGAGTACTGTGACCGTACTTCTTCCCAGACACATGGGTTTGTCCTTTTAGCAGTCCATGGTACTGTCAGTATTCTCCAGCACCACATTTCAAAAACAGCAATTCCTCTTTGGTTTCCTTTTTCAATGCCCAACTTTCACATGCATGTGAGGCAATTGAAATGACTATGGCTTGGGTCCTGAAAGTAACCTTGCTGCTTTTCACCACTTGCAGCATGTGTTGATCTCTTGACTGCTGCTTCCATGAACTTTGATTGTGAATTTAAGTAAGAAAAAAATCCTTGACAACTTCAAACTTTTCTCCATTTATCATGATGTTACTTATTGGTCAAGTTGTGAGGATTTAGGCTTTCTTTACTTTCAGTTGTGATCCATCCTGAAGGTTGCAATCCTGGTATCTTCATCAGGAAGTACGTTAAGTCCTCTGCATTTTCATCAAGCAAGATTGTGTCATCTGCATATCGAAGGTTATCAATAAGCCTTCATCCAATCCTGCTGCCTCACTTTTCTTATAATCCAGCTCCTCTGATGATTTGCTCACCATACAGTTTAAGTATGTATTGTGGGAGGATACAACCCTGATGCACATCCTTTGTGTTAGACCGGGTTGACCAGAGAAGCAAATCCAGGGACATTCATGATTAGAAAGAATTTTATATCAAAGAATAATTGTATATCAAGAAAATAGCCCAGCCTAGTCCCGATCAAGTCCATATTAGCTCATATGTCCGATACCAGTCCATAAATTCCTCCTCAGACTTACACAGCACATACAATAATGCCAAATGCAGGAAGATCACAGACCAGTGGGTGAAAAGTCTTGTGGATCCAATGCTGGTGGATGCATCCTAACTTGACACAGGCCTCCACATAGCTCCTCTAGCTCTCTGAGTGTCTTCACAGGAAGGTGAAGCAGAGAGGAGCGTCCCAGCATCCTCACGAGAAGGCCACACCCTCAAGGAGGCATCATCAGGCCGTGCTAGACTTCACCCCTACACTTATTTATCATGTTGACATGAAATTATGTAACTACCCACATCCTTCCTGATTTTAAATCATGCAGTATTTCCTTGTTCTTTTCTCACAATTGCCCCTTGATTCATGTATAAACTCCACATACCCACATCCTTCCTGATTTTAAATCATGCAGTATTTCCTTGTTCTTTTCTCACAATTGCCCCTTGATTCATGTATAAACTCCACATGAAGGCAATTATGTGTTCTAGAATTCTCAAGGCTATCCATAGTTTTACGATCCACAGAGTCGAATACCTTGCCATAGAACACAAGTAAACATCTTTCTGGTGTGTTCTGCTTTCAACCAAGATCCATTTGACACCAGGAATGATATCCCTTGTTTTATGTCCTCTCTTGAATCTGGCCTGAACATATGGCAGCTCCCTGTCCATATACTACTGCAACTGTTGGATGATCTTCAAGTTTTTACTGGTATGTGGAGTCAGTAATATTATTCTGTAGTCTGAGCACTCCGTTAGGCCACCTTCCTCTGGAACGGTGCAAACCCGGATCTCTTCTAGTCCGTTGGCCGCGAGCTCTTCCAGATTTGCTGTCGTCGATGAGTGAGTTGTAGTGCTTCACAGCTTATTGAAACGCTTTAATTGTTATTCCATTAAACCTATGAACCTCATCTTTGGCTAATGTTGTTACTGCAGCTTAAACTTCCGTCAACACCACCGATTCTCATACACTTCCTCCTAAAATGGTTGAATGTCGTTTAGTTCTTTTTGGTACAATGACTGTGTATTCTTTCCATTTTCTTTTGATGTGTCCTGTAGCTTTCAATATTTTGCTATTAATTTTTTTTAATCTTTCATTATTGCAACTTGAGGCTTGAACTTTTTCTCGAGTTCTTTCCGTTTCAAATGTCTTGAGCATGTTCTTCATTTTGGTTTTCTAATGCTACAGCTGGCACATTTCATGATAATATTTAACTCTTTCTTCTTGCACTTCCCTTTGAATATTTCTCTTCAGCTCTTTGACTTCATCATTTTTTCCATTTGCCTTAGCTAATCTATAATTCAGTCTCTTCTGACATCCACTCTGATCTTTCTTTCTCGTCTTTTTAATCACCCTTTGCTTTCTTCAAGACAGATGTCCTCGTGGAGGGAGGGTGGGGTGGAAAGGGGGAACCAATTACAAGGATCTACATACAACCTCTTCCCTGGGGAATGGACAACAGAAAAATGGGTGAAGGGAGATGTTGGACAGTGCAAGATATGACAAAACAATAATATATAAATTATCTAGGGTTTTTGAGGGGGAGAGAGCGGCAAATGTTTTGCGAATGATGAGGGCAATGAATGTACAAATGTACTTTACACAATTGATGTATGTATGGATTGTGATAAGAGTGTATGAGCCCCTAATAAAATGATTTAAAAAAACAAAGATGTTCTTAAAAAAAAATGTTCTTCACATCCTCCCACAGCTCACCCACAGTTCAGGTCTTCTGTCATTAGTGTTCAATGCATAAAATCTGTTCTTGAGATGTTCTTGAAATTCAGGTGGGCCAGTGTCAAGGTAGTAGTTGGGCTCTAGTGAACTTGTTTTAAGTTTCTTCAGATTGAACTTGAGTCCCCATACGGTCAATTGATGATCTGCTCCACAATCAGCCCCTGGCTGGTGTTAGCTGCTGATACTGAGCTGCTCCATTTCCTCTTCCCACAGATGTAGCCAAGCTGGTGTCTAATTATTCCGTCTAAGGAGGTCTACGTGTATAGTAGCCATTTTTGTTGTTGGTTTCTCCTAAGAACAAACCATTGATCTTGCAAAATTCTATCATGCAATCTCCATCTTATTTTCAATTACTAAGGCCATGTTTTCCAACTCTTGTTTCTTCCTCTTTGTTTCCAACTTTTGTATTCCAATCACCAGTATTTATCAGTGCACCTTGATTGCATGTTTAATCAATTTCAGGATGAAGAATTTGGCAAAATTCTTCAATTTCTTCATTACTGGGTTTGTGGTTGGTGCATAAACGTGAATAATAGTCATATTTTTTGAATTTACTTGAAGGCAGATAGATATAATCCTCTCACAGACAGCATTGTTCTGATCTGTTTATATCTTTTTTGGATAATGAATACAGTGCCATTCCTCTTGATTATGTTATTTCTGGCATAGCCATTTGATTTTCTGATTCAAAATGGCTAATACAGTCTACTTCAGTTAACTAATGTCTAGGATATCAATTTGTATGCATCCCATTTCACTTTTGATGACTTCCAAATTTCCTAGATTCATACTTTGCACATTCTAAATTTGGATTATTAGTAGATTTCTGCAGTTGTTTCTATATACCTTGAGTTCTGCTCCGTCAGCAAATGAAGATCCTGAAGGCTCCACTTCCACAGGCTTTCCTCCATTCATGTCACCATGGTGGACTCTCCTTTGAGAATCAGCTCCTCCTTAGGCATATTTCAAGGGCCTTCCAACCATGGGGCCCATCTGCCAGCCCTGTCTCTGACAGTGTGCTGCTTCCATTCATTAGGCTTTCAATATTTGACAATGTTTCCAGCCTGTGCGAAGGGTCTTCTATTGGTATTTCTGTCAAAGTGGGCAGCTGACTCCTTCTTTGTAGTCTTTTCTTAGTCTGGAAGGTCCTTTGAGTCCTGTTCATTTGGGTGACCTTGCTGACATCTGAAATACGAACGACATAGTTCCCAGCATTACAACAACACACAAACCACTATAGTAGGACATACTGACAGACAAGTGGTGTCTTAGCATAAGAGTTATTCATAAATCCCAAAAGACAAGATCAAGGATAAGGTATAACCTCTGTTGTCTGGTCTTTTTCAATTGGTTTCAATTCATAGTAACCCTATGTACACTAGCAAGCCCATGGACAACACTGGTGCCTCCTCTGCCATCTTCATAATCTGCTTCGTTTGAGCCCATTGTAGCCATTGTGTCAATTCGTCTCATTCAATGCCTTCCCCTTTTTGCGGACCCTCTACTAATCATAATGTCCTTCTCTGGCCGATCCTTCTGGTCAGTCTTCAGAACATGACATTAAACCTTGCTGTCCATGTTTCTAATGAACCTTCTGGGTGCACTTCTACATGGATTTCTGCTTTCTTCTGGCAGTCCATGGCATAATTCTTTCAGCCGAGATCACCTCTCATCAGCAATGACATTCTTTATTCCATGTCCACTTCTGAAATGTGGTTTGAATTTTTATCTGTTCCCTGTCAGTGTGCTGCTGCAAGCATTTTTGAACTTAGCAAAATTATACTTGTACGCAATACTAGTGATATTGTTTGGTGACTGACACAACATATCGGATCACACTTTGGAATGGCCAAAATTATGCTTTCAGTCACTGGGCCAGGTAACTCTTCTCTGAATTTCTTGGCACAGACTTGTGAGTTCTTCTAGCATTAGATCCATTTATTGAAAAATTTTGATTGGTATTCTGTGCATGTTTAAAGCCTTATTTTTCACCAATGCC